GTTGCTCTCGACGAGAAACTTTTTTGCGCGCCGTAATTCAAACTTGACTCGAAAGGTATATCGACCTGTATGAAAATCAGGGCACAGATACAAGTGCAAAGCACTCGAGCTATGCCACCTTTGCCTTTCCAATCAAATGTCAAACCCTTTTCATGTTGCATCTCCGCTTTTCAACGGAATTTAATAAGTTGCAAACAAAAATCGTGCACTTGACGCCGGGTTAGCCTCTGTTTAAATGAATAAATAAATATAAATTTTATGTTTTTTCGTTTGCACAGTCCTTTGCAGGCACAGGACGATCACGTTCTCATGTTCCCGTAAAGCATGTTCTTGGTGTACACGACCGTGCACCTAGTAAATATCATGCAAGCAACAGCAGCTTAATTACAATGTTGCAAATGTTTTAATTAACTAACCAGAAGCCATATTTGAACAAAGAGGCCGGTGCGGCAAAAGCGAACGGACACGCTACCCTTTGCACGTCCGTTGTTCTGCATCCGAGCGGCTGCTGGAAGCGGGTTTCATTTTTGTGCACCGGCACGCAACGGAAGTTCGCGGTGGAAAGTGAACAAAATGAAAATGCAACGTGCTAAGTGGCCAGGGATATGCGAAACGGAACGTGACAGGATGACAAACAATCGGATAAAAAACAAGCAAATTAGAAAAACATTCTTAGGTGGCCGTAGTTCCTGGCCATGTTCCCAAAACCAAGGGAAAGATCAACTACGATGATTGCACAATCATGTTCAAATACATGGGCAACACATAAAATGGGAAATTCAAATCAAAGTCCAGTCATAGAAATATGTAACTGCAAGAAATATGTAACGTGAAGTTTGACGTATTGATGTTAAATTAAGGAATATGCTTATATGCTATTTAGTAAGACATTTAGTAATATATTTTGTCGAGAGTCTGTCGAACTTTAACTGCTCAAAATTTGCCCAAAGTTAAATTATTTTTGGTTTCAATTTTGACTGCAAGTTATGTGCAGCACATTAAGGAGAATTTTGCTTTTAAGCTTTAGTTCAACTAAGAATTTCCTGATAGATAAAAGGAACACTTGAATAAACTACTGATAAATTGATACTGGGCAAGATATATGTCTACAAATTTAAAGATTTACATGTTCTCAGAGCTTCAAAGAAAAAATTGCGACTAATACTTATGGAAAAGCTCGTTGACTGTGCGTTCTTTGAAACTGGATTCTTAGATTTTAATTGCAACCACAGAAAATATAATGCAGGATTCCAACTAAATTGTTAAATAATTGATTAAACTTAAACTGAGTGTGCTCTGTGCATGGCAGCAAAAAACTTTCACCACAACTTTTTATTTATTTTTGTCAAATGTAATTATTAACTTAGAGCTGTGCCTGAGCAGAACTAGTTTTTGAGCTGTGTTTATGTTCGCATTCGCAGGAACAAAACAAACAAAGAAATAATTAATTAATATTCTTCTCAGCTATTGTTTCAGTCCAGAACTTTAATGTTTGCAGCTCGCCAATCTGCCATTCAATGTCAAATGTATTTAATTTTCCACTGCTTGGTCAGTTGGACTCTTCCCATTGTAAAACCCAAATGAAATGAATGTTGACCGTCCACGGACCAATTGGAAAAATATTTGAGTTGATCTAATCTAACGTAAATAATTAAACCGGAATTCCATGGTAGCAAACAAAGACGGCGGCTATATAAGGTCGTTCAGACCGTACAGATGCATACAGTGCATAGTTACAACTTCAATGGGTTAAGATGAGTTTGAAGTGGAGCTTAGTTTTGGGCCTAAGTTGGCTCCTTTTTGTGGCTTCGTCAGAATTAAAAAAAGCATAAGCCAAACGAGTTGGACGACAATATTAATTGGTGGCGACACGAGGTCTTTTATCAGATTTATCCTAGGTCCTTTAAGGACAGCGATGGCGATGGCATTGGTGATCTTAAGGGCATCACCTCCAAGCTGCAGTACTTTGTGGACACTGGCATCACGGCCATCTGGCTAAGTCCCATTTACAAGTCACCCATGGTTGACTTTGGGTACGATATATCCGACTACAGGGACATCCAGCCGGAGTATGGCACCCTGGAGGACTTTGATGCGCTGATCGCCAAGGCCAATCAACTGGGCATCAAGGTCATTTTGGACTTTGTGCCCAATCACAGCTCGGACGAACACGAATGGTTTAAGAAGTCCGCTGCTAGAGAGCCTGGCTATGAGGATTTCTATGTGTGGGAGGACGGCATACCTGGGGATAATGAAACTCGCTTACCGCCAAACAACTGGGTATCTGTATTCTCCGGCTCCGCTTGGCAGTGGCACGAGGAGCGGCAACAATTCTATTTGCGTCAGTTTACCAAGGGACAGCCCGATTTGAACTATCGTAATCCTGCTGTGGTGCAGGCCATGGATGAAGTTTTGTTGTACTGGCTGCAAAAGGGCGTGGCTGGCTTCCGCATCGATGCCGTTATCTATATATATGAGGACGAACAGTTGCGAGACGAGCCCTTGAGCGGTTCCACCAGTGATCCGAACTCAGTTGATTATCTGGAGCACATCTACACAAGGAACCTGCCGGAATGCTATGGCCTCATTCAGCATTGGCGTCAGCTGTTGGACAACTACACGGCCGATAATCCGGGACCAGTGCGCATTATGATGACCGAGGGCTATGCGGATCTATCGCTGCTAATGAACTACTATGAAGATGAGGACGGCGTGCAGGGCGCCCACTTTCCCTTTAATTTTGATTTTATTACCGAGCTGAATGCAAACTCAGCGGCTCCGGACTTTGTATACTTCATTCAAAGATGGCTGACCTATATGCCGCCTGGACACTCAGCCAACTGGGTGATGGGCAATCATGATAATCCGCGCGTTGCATCTCGGTATGGCGTTGGCACTGTGGATGCCATGAACATGCTGATGATGACTTTGCCGGGCATCGGCATTACCTACTATGTAAGTGTAGCTGTGCTCTGATCTCTGGCTCTACATCGAGGTTTCTCCTTCAGGGCGAGGAACTCGGCATGGTAGACTATCGTGACATTAGCTGGAACGATACAGTGGATCAGCCCGCCTGTGATGCTGGTCTTGACAATTACAAGTGGGTCTCTCGCGACCCCGAACGCACGCCAATGCAGTGGAGTGATGAGAAGAATGCTGGTTTCTCCACGGGAGATTCCACCTGGTTGCCAGTGCACCCGAATTATCAGGAGCTTAATCTGCTCACCCAGCAAGAAGCCACTTACAGCCATTATAAGGTCTATCAGTCGCTGATCAAGCTGAGACAATCGCGAGTCTTGCGGGATGGCTCATTTACAGCCCAGGCCCTTAATCGTAATGTTTTTGCTATTAAGCGGTGAGTTTTTAACTTTTCTTCCAATTGAGCAAACATCTTTTATATTATCTGTGTGTTTCCAGCGAATTGAGAGGTCAGCCCACCCTGCTAACTGTCATTAATGTGAGCAATCGCACCCAGCAAGTCGATGTCAGTAACTTTATCGATTTGCCCAATCGTCTTACATTGTTGGTTGTGGGCGTTTGCTCCCAGCATAGGGTGAGCGAGCGCCTTAAGCCCGCCGAGGTCAAACTGTCGCCCCATGAGGGTCTAGTTATACAGCTCAAAGCTCGCTAGTAGTTGAATATATCAAAAAATATTAATTTAAAAATGTAATGTGAATTACATTTACATTTTATTATATACAAGGAATTGCCAGAGCTTAAGCCGCACCGAAGAATAGTGGGGCTGATAACATTATTATACTTATTATGATAATTAAAAATATTGCAAAACTTGAAGGCCTTTAATATTTCGTTCGTAACAGATGTGACAAAATGGGAACCACAAGGCTAGGAATTTATTTAAGGTCTTGTTAAATATTCCTTGAAAGTAATATTGACAGAAGAAATTGGCGTTCGTTTTATCTATAAGGCAAAATGCTTTTCCCTTCTCCGATATTAACGGGAAGAAAGGTTCTCACTCTGGTTGCCTATACTTTGATTGTTAAAATAGAGCTGGCGAGCTTAAAATAAAGTTATTAACGTAAAAGCCAGACACACATCACAAAGTTGAGCAATTTTTCGCAAAAGCACGCTTTGGAAGAATTCATGTTTAATGATATTAACTGCTATTCGAGCAATATTTATTATTTTAAATACTCATCTTAGGAATTAATTTGAATTTCCATTTAATTATATTCCCATTGCCAATTTACACTTTAAAGCGTTTTGCACGTTTTAATTGAATTTTGAATACTTGCTGTTGCCCTTATCCCCCCTGCCCCGCCTTGTACGTGCCGTGCGTCGTTTGTCGTGTTGCTGTCGTCGCACTTTCTCCAAAATATTTCATAACTGTCAACGCTTCTGGGCAGCGGTAGATAAATTGTTGTTGAGTTTAATTAAAAGCCCTTCGAAATTGCATAAATATAAATTTCGTTTTGTTTTTTATACTCTGTAGCTTTTGACTATGGTTCAGAATATGTATACTGCTAATGGGCAAATGTTTGCAAAGGTAGAGCAAGCTATTTCGGCTAATTATATAAAGTTTATTTATTCGTGATCGGGTCGAAGATCTGAGTATATCTAGCCATTGTTCGTCTCCTCGTCTGTCCGTATACTAGAGCCCGTTGATGTCAGCGATCGTCAGAAATAGATAATAATTCAAATTTCAATCCACTTATAACATGCGCAGACCCAATGCTCTTTTTTATGAGCACATCTCTTCCCTTAGATACCCAATTGGGCAATTCGGTCGAGTCAATTGAGGTAAATGTGAGTGAGTCAGTCGATATAGTGTGCGAGTGCGTATATGAGTTCTGGTTTGAAAGCCTGAAGCGGCAGTTCCACACGGGTTACAGGGTATTTCTTAGTCGGCCACCTTAGCTTTGAGCACGATATTGATTTGCAGCCTGCCTTTGTGGATGCTGTGAGTACTGCTGTGGATTCCAAGTGGAGCGCAAGCTTGTGCAAATTGATTGGCTTCGCTGCACGCTGCTTTCTCTCAGTTTTCAGTTGATCACGGTGGCTGTGGGCGAAGTGACGTGTTTCGAGCAGCATTGAATTGTTGTTATTTGTTTACGTTCTTATTTTTGTTGGCAAACCTTTTGAGGTAGGTAAAGAGTGTAAGCAGCGGGCGCAGCCGATGTGATTGTTATCAATTGATTATGTATGGAGGTAGTCAGAGAGAGATAAGGAGTAATGGCAAATGATCTTTCAGCCTGTATTTTCAGTGCAAAAGGAAGGTATGCTGCTTACAAAGAATGAGGGAGTAAGAGAGTGAATAAAAACAAAAACGAAATAATATCATTTTCTGTTTAAATATTTTACGGCGTTAAATTGGTTATGTGTGTAATTTGATATTATTTGTCGTCAGTCGTTTCCATAAACAATTATTAATAATCAGAACTGCCTTATTAAGAGTTAATAATATTAAAATTATAATAATTACACCGCCTGCAATTTGAAATTAACCCTTTAAAACAGAACTGAATCCGATTCGCGTTTACAGTCGCTGCCACAGCAGCAAATCTCTTGCACCATGGCAGCAGCGCATCAGTTAACCCGAACAACCCAACTGCTTCTACTTTGCAGCCTGCTGTGGACACAGGCGCCTCGTCCGGTCATGTCCAGTCTGTTGAGCGCTCAAACGGAAGATTTTATCGACTGGTGGCAGCACGCGGTCTTCTACCAGATCTATCCCAGATCCTTTAAGGACAGTAACGGCGATGGCATCGGCGACTTGCAGGGCGTTATCTCCAAGCTGCCGTATCTAGCTGAAACGGGTATTACAGCGACCTGGCTGAGTCCCATTTTTCAGTCACCCATGGTGGACTTTGGCTATGATGTATCTGACTATAAGTCTATACAAACGGAGTATGGAACTATGGCCGACTTTGAGCAGCTGGTGAACACGGCTACCAGTCTGGGCATCAAGATAATCTTGGACTTTGTGCCCAATCACACTTCGGATAAGCACGAATGGTTCATAAAGTCAGCGGCTCGGGATCCCTTGTATGACAACTTTTATGTATGGGCAGATGGGAAACTGGATAATCAGGGTGTTCGACAGCCACCGAACAACTGGCAGTCCGTGTTCTATGGCTCCGCCTGGCAATGGCATGAGCAACGCGGGCAGTACTATTTGCACCAGTTCGCCAAGGAGCAGCCAGATCTTAACTTTCGCAACCCGGCCGTGGTGCGTGCTATGGATGATGTTCTGCTGTTCTGGCTTAATAAAGGTGTGGCTGGTTTTCGCATTGACGCACTCAATCATTTGTTCGAAGATGAAACCCTGCCCGATGAGCCACTTAGTGGCAAGACAACGGATCCCCTCTCTTACGACTATACGAAGCACATCTACACCAAAGATTTGCCTGAGGTTTTGAGCATGGTGCAGCACTGGCGGCAGCTGTTGGACGATTATACCGCCAAGCACTCGGAAGGTGCCACGCGCATCATGATGACAGAGGCGTATGCCGACTTGCAGGTGCTCATGGACTACTATGAGGATGCCGGCGGAGTGCGCGGCTCCCAATTGCCCTTCAATTTTCACTTTATTACGGATGTGAGCGGAGATTCGGATGCCCGTGACTTTGTATACAATATAGAGAAATGGCTGATCTACATGCCTCGCGGGCACACTGCCAATTGGGTCATGGGCAACCACGATAAACCGCGTGTCGCCACGCGTTTTGGCCCCGCCAGTGTCGATGCCATGAACATGCTGCTGCTGACACTTCCCGGCGTTGCTGTTACCTATAATGTGAGTATGTGCGTATTGGAAAGGTCAGCGAACTAATCTGTTTGAATTATATTTGTTGTAGGGCGAGGAGCTGGGCATGCAGGACTATGACGAAATCAGTTGGGAGGACACGGTGGATCCGCCAGCGCGCATTGCCGGTAAACTGGACTATAAGAAAGTGTCCAGAGATCCGGAGCGTACACCCTTTCAGTGGAGCAATGCTACCAATGCTGGTAAGCAGAACTGTATTATAATAACCTTTAGTATATCTATTCGTTTCACATGAATATATAAAACTTTTCCTTAGGTTTCTCCACTGCTGCCAAGACATGGCTACCCGTAAATCCCAACTATCTGGTGTTGAATCTAGAAGCGCAAAAGCAAGCCGTCAAAAGCCACTACAAAGTCTACAAATCGCTGATTGAGCTACGCAAGTTGCCGGTGCTGAGACGTGGAAGGTTTAGCATAGAGCCGCTATCCCGCACAGTTTTCGCGTTTAAGCGGTAATTCTCCCTTTTTCTATATTAAAGGGCGCACAAATATTAACAGTTTGCTGGCAATTTAGTACCCTGAAGGACTACGACACACTCGTAACCATCATCAATGTGAGCGCTAAGGAGCAGTTGGTAAATCTAACAGACTTTATCAATCGGCCTCAAAAGTTGGTGGTGGAAGTGGCAGGTGTTGATTCAGTTTATGCACCTGGGTAAGTTCAATGTCACTTGCATTATATCGCATTTAAAATATCTGCCACATATTTGTCCTGCATTTGCTACCCTCCACAGACAAACCATTTCCAGCAGCGCCTTAACACTGTCAGCTCATGAGGGTCTCATCTGCAAGCTGCTCGACGCGTAGGCCCAAGATTAACGTACTTTATGGGTTCAATCAATTCAATTTGCTTTGATAAATTTAGATTTAATATTAAATGACATGAGCTTAAAATTAAGGCATTGTGCTTGTGCTGCAAATGAATTAAAGTTCACTTTGCCTCTTGCAGTTTTTTTTATATATCAGTTTGCATTTAAAATCTGGAGGTCTTTTTATGCACGACATGCGGAATAAAACTGCTGGCCACGACGTCGCCATTGTCGCCCTGGCAGTTTGCCCAAGCGAAATTCACGTCATTTAGATACCCTATCAAAGGGTATTCTACTTTGGTAATGAACGCATTACAGACTCCCTATAATATTTAGTATATATAAAATTTAAAATATGTTTCGATAGATTTTCCCTCTGCTTGATTAAGGAAGCATTTAAACTGCAACTAGTCGGAATAAATTCATAACAATCAAGAAACCATAAATAAAATTGCTCGAAAATTGAGCTATATCTTAAGTAAAGGTGTCTCCTAATTCTTCTGTAAACTCTGTGTTTTTCTATTTGTTGGCTGAGATAGGATTAGACTATAGTTGCCTTTCATTTATTCAATATTATGTTGATTATGTACTCAAATTAATAAATAAATAATTAATATTACACAATATTCCTTCATGTTTTATTTAGCATGAAATGCATGAAACTTTGAGCTTTACATTTCTGCAAGATTAAAATATTGTAATAGAACTGGTTTTTTAATAATGCTGCAAGGGTAAATCATTTTTGGTACCTCCAAGCTATTTTTTCTCTGGTCAGTTTGTTTCACAGCTCGTATAATTTTTCATGTGGCTGGGCGCACGAACTCGAAGATTTATGGACCACGACACAGAGATTTGCGAACTGTCGCATTGCAAATGGGTATGGGCACTGCAACAGAGAGAGAGAGAGAGAGAAAGGGAGAGGGAGGACAAAGGTTCATGTTATGCAAAAGTTTCAAATGCCACGCGTTAAGCACTGCATTGTCCAATTTGCCATGTCCATAAACTTGCTCCTTTAAATCATATCATATTTTCCATGGACGCCAATAGGTTTTTAGCTTAATAGCGAGACATCAAATGTTGCATAGAATGGCATAATAAATGCTCTTAACGAACATAAAAGGCAGTTACTTAAGTTTGAAAATTGCTAAAAAGTTTGCCCTTGCAAAAGCACTTAAATCAGAAAAATGAACAGAAATTTAGTTTGCCTAGCAACAGACAGTAGCACATCGTTATAACGACTTGGCTGTTGATTCCGATCTAGAAGGTATATATATGTACAATTTATAGGTTCCGAGAAGGCGTTACACATTTCATGACAAAATTCTAATTCCTAATCGTGACAAACTTTGATCTTTCACAATTCCAAGATGCTATTTGCAATGTAAATGAAACGTCGCAAACCACAAACTTTTCTGCGGAAAGCACTAAGTTAATTTCTATGAATCTTTCATTTGTAATCTGAAGATTATTTTTACCACAGGAAATAAGCCACAACATGGCATAAAAGATGAGCATTACGACTAGTTTTTTCTGTTGAAATGGGAAAGTGCTAAATAGCAATAAAGTAATTCAAATCATACAAAATGGAAATGTTTTGCTTTGGCTTCAAGTGTTCATCACGCATACGCCACGTTGATCCATAACAAGCCTAAAAAATATTTTCTTTATCTTTATGCAAAAATAAAAACATTTTTGGTTTCTAAATGTTCCATGAATGAAGTGATTCTAGTTTTTTGGCCAACAATCGCAGTGACAAACCCCAATTGCGACTTGCGCCTCGCGCTGGCCTTGTTTTGAGCTATGAGCAGTCGGGCATGAGGTTAGTTGGGACTAATAACTGTTTGTTTGTTTCTAACTAGACTGCTTTTCTTTTTCAGTAAACAACGTCGTCTTTTGGTTAAACAAATCATCAAATCTTTTAACGTGGTGCTAGTAGCTTTGCTAATGTACAATTTGTGGCGTCACAAGTGGACTAAAGTTAATTTCAATTAGCCATTTTGATGCATTGATTTTTGTTGCGGCCGTTGATTGATTAATTAATTAATAAAATACACCAGAAAAAAAGCGTAAATAAAAGAGCATCGCTAGCCAACTGGCTAAAATGTCATTAACAGTTGGCAACGGGCGAAATTGTGGTTGCTGGGCATCATATGGACGAATTAAATTTCCGTTTATCGCTGTCAAGTGGTGCTGAAAATTGTACGAAAAGTGGGTGGTAATAAGATTGCCTGACAGATCGATTTTTTTGCGATATGTCAACTGTCAGCAATGGCATTTAAAATTCAATTTATTGCTCAAAAATCCATATAAATGCTTAGCTCATTTATGTCTTTATATATTGTAATAGCTTTTCTTTCTGCCCTTGTCAGCACTGTTAGGAATTGTGTTTTTATCAATTTTCGAAAACGCATCAATGCTTTTTATAAAACATTTTTTCTTCAGGCAAGCTCCTTTTAAATTAATTTCATTTGGCTCGTATTGTTCCGCTGTCTAAAAGTGCAGCAAAAACGAAAGTGTCAACAATAATTTTTTTCCAATTTGCTAGCGGATATTTCCATAGTTTGGTTAAGGACGACTCTAGCGATTGGCATCGAAAGTCCCTATGCTAGGAGTCTCGAACTGCAACTGGCACTGAGTTGAAGACAATGACAAGGCAGCAGCTGGCAACTGCTAAAGTAAATTTAACGCTTTGCTGGCTGGCAAGTGGAAATCCTTGTTTCCATCCTGATTGCCGGAAGTTGACAGCGCCGTTGTTGCCTCTCAGAGTTACCAATAAAATTATATTCGACTGTTTGGAAATCAACCGGACTCCCGGACACTTAAAGCTATAAACTTAGCTATTCTTACTTGATTATTGTGGTCGATTGGCTGAATAGAAGCTGGCATTAATTCAATGTTTGTAATTTATATTTCTGTAAAATAGTTCACACAGCCGAGGGGACAGTTGGCTTAATATCTATCACAGGTAAATTTCAAAACTTTTCTGTTGTCCAAACTTGATTAGACCTCGAACTCAAGGTTCACTTAGTCAAACCAACTAATTATTCTTACTATACTCACTATTTGATGTAGTTAAATTAATTGTGGTTTCACAGAAATGTTGAACAATTGCGATTGATTGCTGGAACCCAGAGCTATTGATTCGATCAATTGTCTGCGGGCTGAGGATGTCGCATTGTCTAATATATACAAAGCAGCATACAAGGACACACATGTTAAATCCTTTTGAGCTAAAAAGTTTCAAAATGCTGAGCAGCTCTGGGAAATTTGGCAGGACGCGCCGTGCACCTTGATGTCAGAACAGCAGCAAAAGGTATAAGAGGCCGCAGCGAAGCGGGGGAAAGGAACAAAGATGAGCCAGCTAATTGGATCCTTCGGGCCAACCACAATTCGGGCTGCCAACTTTTTCCCTTGCCTATGTATGCGTGTGTGCGTATGCTGCCTTTTCTGTTTGTGGCAGCGCCATTTTGGCCATTTAGCTGCAGGCTTCATAAATTTAACAGACAGTCGCGAAACTGGCGCCGCTTTTTAACTGTTTTTAATTAAAACATGAGTGCGCAAGCGAATAGCGCCCGACTTCCAGATACCATGAATCCAGTGCCGAGCTACCGTTAAATGTGTTAAATGTGCACACACCTCCAAGCGCTGCTTAATATCTCTTTTTGTGGTTTTTCAAGATAAACTTAATTTGCGATTGGCAAACATGGTTTTAGTCTCTGGTATGGAAGGTTTAATAAAGTCAGGCTAGATCTAGTCTTCTGTTGAAGCAGACCCTTTCTTGTATACACTTTCAATAAGTACAGGGTATGCAAAATGCTACTCATAATCAGCTAGAGTCGGCTTGTGTGTATTTTGGTGGGGCTTATCTCCATGCAGGTCTAAAGGATTTTTAAACCATGTACTCATTGGAAACGCGTAAAAAGGGTATAATGTTTTTGGGTCAGAATATGTCACAGACGGAACGAATCATCTCCGACCCCACAAATATATATTGTATAAAAGCTAGGGACTGGAAATATACTAAAATCCTATATAAACGCATGAAGAGAATCTTTAAATATATAAAATTTTATTTAACAATAGGAAGTATTTATGGTAGATGAATTATCGCAAGAGGCCAGCACCGTGAGAGTTTTGGCTACAGGGTATTTTTCCTGTCCAACTGCGCCAACTACTGTTTATTTTTTATAGCTTTGCTGTCACTTGAAAGCAGTTGTCGACATCAATGGTCCGCAGAGAGTAAAAGCCAAATTGATTGGCAATTGAGGCGCCGTTGGCATAAGGGCAAATAAAAACTTTAGCCAAGAGTTGCATACATTATCCCTTTAAGCCAGGCCCATACAAATTCAATAAAGCTGCTCAACTTGTTTGCTCCACAATAAATTTTTTTGAGGGAGCTTGTCATGTTACGCCCAATTCGAAATATGTATTGAAATTTTTGTGCGTTAAAGTCAATGACTGGAATTTATGCAAATTTTTACGGGTTGCTTAGGACTGGCTAAAACAAAACCAAACAAAGGTCACTTTTGGCCCGAGTAGTGCAGATAGCATTTGAGTTATGCGCATGAACTTTGCCAAATGGTTTTCTTGTATTTGTGAATTTTTAAGCGCCCAAAATTATGCGAAGATCTTGCAAATGTTGCCTGTCCTTAAACCTTATTACGCGCTTAGTTAGGTTGACGCGTTTCCTTGTTGTTCTTTAATAAATTGGCCAATGCCAATGAAGATTCATTGAACCGCAGCTAAATTGGCCACTTAACCCTTTTTTTTTGTTTTTTTTTGTGTTCCCAGTTTCAGTTGCACACACAGCACATCAATTAAGTGGTAACCTTTTCCCACTCGGCTGGCTGCTGTCAATAAGTAAACTTGTCGCTGAAGCCCGCTTGAGCAAGCGGGGCTCTGAACTACCAGCCAGACAGCACAAATAGCCGATGGCGGAGGTGGGCCTTGTCCTCGTCTGATGCCTTTGTCTGCGAGTGACAACAGCAAACGTGCAACGCTAGAAAGCGGCCGCGACCAGGCCAACAATAAGTGTAATATGTCAATTGAAGGACACACTTCGAAAACAACAACAACTACACACACACACACACACACACACACACACTCTGGCGCTCAACAGCGACAGGAACACGAACACGAATACAAAAACAAACACTTGACTATTTATTGCATTGTTGTTTGTCTGTGCTGTCGCCGCAGGATATGCTACGGATATTTGCAAAATATTGCAGCGCCCATAAATTTTAACCCCAAAGGACGCGCCACATTGTCACTTGGCTCCTGTCCGATTGGGGGCGTGCCCCATGCCTTGGCATTGCCTCAAATTTCAGGCAGCTACGGGACACAGCAATTGGAGCCCAGCGGTACACATTCCATCTGGAGAATAGTACTGGTAACAGTTGAATTTCTTTTATCTGTTTATTTATTTAGCGCTTAACCGAATAATTGAGTAGGTAGTTTAACAGTTTTACGGTTTTTTTTTTTTCAGTAAAGCGATCCAGGAGCACGTAGATAAGTATTACGTGAGCTTTAAGTTGACAGCTCTTAACTGGAATTTGCAGGCTTCAAAGAATTTTATAAATACATTTAGATTTGAGATTTGTTTGTGGTATACGATTGACGATTAATTCTGCAAGGATTGGATAATTGACTCTGACTGATTCATTTATAATATTTTCTTATATCTTTAAGCATTGATGTTTAATAAAAGCGACTCACTCGTTTTGTGCAAACGTACGGATCTGACATACCTATTTATGAACCTTTCTATCTTTACATATATCTATCTATCTATCCATCTATCTATCTATTTATCTATCTAACTATCTTTCTATCTATCTATCTATTTATTTAACTATCTATTAATATATCGATTGCAGCATACACTATATAAAACGTTTGTAATATTCCTCCTAGTTGCATTTTTACTATCCTTACTGCTTTTGGTTATTTTTTTGCCATATTTAAATTTTTCTGATATCCTTATTGCGGTTCATTTAACTACAAAAGCACTTCACACACACACACACACATACGTACACGCACACCAAAATGCACACACGAACCGTTTGCAGGATTATATGGATACCTTTTATTTTCGGTTAAAATTCATTTCACCTAAAATTGAATTCATTCATTTTATCTAAAATGAACACACAGAAGCTTAAAGTGTCTGTGCTCTATGCAAGTATAATAGTTCAGAAACAACTGGCCAACAGCTGTATGTTTGCTTTCAAAAACCTGTTCATATCAGTATATAGGTGTATATTGATGCCCTGTAGCTGAGAGCAGGCAACACGAGTGTCATGCTGATTTCAAAAGCCTCCGGTATCCGATACTCTTGCCGAGAACAACAACGAACCAGTCTGGCCTGGTCTAGCTAACCTGCAGGAGCATATTTTGCGTATTTTCTTAAACGTTTACCCTGGCCACGTGTCGTATACGCAATCTGCTGCAGTATTAAAAGTTGCCCATAAATTTCCAGCAGCAATTCGAAATGAATTGTGTTGTGCTGGTTAGAAGAAAGGATAAGAATGAAGTTATGGGTGGCAGCCAAGTTTTAAATTGGCTACTACCATAGCCCAGCCCCTTTGAGGAAATTCAATTTCATTTTCAATTTAATGCTGCAATGGGCCACGTACCTGGGCCGTCGTTTCAATCTGGCTCTTGGGTTTGCCCTCTGAATTGACTTACCTGCAATGAAATGATAGAAAAATAGATACATATATATTATTTTATGCCTTTGCATGGCGCCATTGTGTGTGGAGAGTGTAGAAAGGGTAGCTTACGAATTAAAAGTCAAACCCATGGAAACAGTTCATGTGGGTCACCCAAAGGTGACTCCAGGCAAGCCCTGCCTTTGCTTTAAGTGCACCCATCGCTTACCTATGACATAGGAGTACCCGTCCAGCGTCAGGACGCACTTGCGCGTTGTGGTGCCGGACAGATTGCCAACTCCGCCACCAACAACAACGCTGGACGAGTACCGCGGATTGTTTCCAGCAGCTGTGGAACGACTGCTTAGACCCAGCGCCTTGTGCAAGCCCCCGCCGGGACTGCTTGCCTGTTGCTGCTGCTGGTCGCAGCTGT